TTATATTTATAAGTTAAAGTCATGATTTCATTCTTTTTAAATTTAATCTACATATTTATATTCTTGATTTATAAAATTTTAAATTAAAAGATAAAAAATATATACTATAAGTTAAAATTGTAATATTTATCTTATATTTATAAGTTAAAGTCATGATTTCATTCTTTTTATCCTTTAACTAAAAAAATATGATTTAAAATTATAATTTTTTGAACTTAAACTTCTAAAAATTAGTAATAGGTCCAAGGGCAATGGTTACGTCAGTAACAAAATCACCTCTTTTGTAAGATTGAACCCATGACCTGACAACTCACACAATTTTCATTACCCTCTTTCGTAGATTTTTTTCAAGCAAAAGGGAATCTTGGGTCCCACGGGGATTCCTGCTATGAGGATGGGGTGAGAAGAAATATTTCTTATCGTGAGGCGGGGACGAAAATCATTTTCTTTCCTCGAAATTTCGTGAGAAATTTTTCTCATCCCGTGGGGTCCTGCGAGGATTTCCATCCCCGAAAAAAAAAAGTTTTTATTTTAAAATTAATTTATTCTTTAAACTCAAAGCCAAACCCAAATTTAAACCCAAATCCAAATCCAAATTTAATCCAATTACAATTAAATTTAACCCAATGCTATCCAGCCCAACCTAACTCCTAACCCAACCTAACTCCCAACCCAACCCATTCCCCTACATTTAACCCTAATCCTAATTTATTTTAATTCCCATCACTCAATCTCTTTAACTGCAGCTTCACACATCTCTCACGTCCATCTCACCTTCAGTTTCCCTGCTGTTGCTGCTGCTGCTGCTGCTGCCACCGGAGTCATCTGCTGTTGTTGCCGGACCATCTGTTGTTGCTGCCGGACCATATGCTGCTGTTGCCACCGAACCCATCTGCTGCTGCTATTGCTGTTCAGCCAAAGCCATCTGCTCTAATGCTGCTGCCGGCTGCCACCACCGGACCCATCTGCTGCTGCTGTTGCCGCCGCTGAACAGCCAAAGCCATCTACTCTGCTGTTGCTGCTGCTGCTACTGCTGCTGCTACTGCTACTGCTACTACTGCCACCGGAGCCTGCTGTTGCTGCTGCTGCTACCGCCACCGGGGCCTGCTGCTACTACTGCTGCTACCGCCACCGAGGCTTGCTGCTGCTACCGCCACCGAGGCTTGCTGCTGCTACCGCCACCGGAGCTTGCTGCTGCTGCTGCCGCCGCCAAACAGCCTAAGCCATTTGCTTTGCTACTGTTGCCGGAGCTATTTGATATTAATTGGTGGGGAATGGGGATCCCGCGGCGATCCCCATTCCCCGTGAGAAACGGGGACAAGGGGCAAAATCTGCTCCCTGTCAAAAATCCCTGCACGGATTCCCGTCCCCATGCTTCGTGGGAACGGGGATGGGGAAGGGGTCCTGGCCCCGCAGGGCCCGTTACATCCCTATGCATGACTAATGTCCAAGTGCTGCTTTTGCGTCATTGCTTACGTTTTTGTTTTGTGCATCATGTTAAAATGAGATTTGCCAGAGATTAGTGCAAGGTTCCAGTGAAACAACAATAATGCATCTTTTCTATGACACAGTTCTTTCAAATTGCACCGTAGTTTTGGCTGTGTTGATTTAAGTGCATTTAATTTTTAATTTTTATCAGAATTTAAATTACAATAACAACCTCCTATCCTCTTTTCTCTCAAATTTCCCCCTATTCAAATAAAAAAAAAAAGTTCTTTCAAATTGTACTTCCTTTTTTTTTTTTAACTTAGAGAATTTTAGAGATAGTAAGATTAATAGTATTTAATTGTAAAACTTAAAATTCTATGCACTAACATGTTTACATAAAAAAACGTATGGTCATTAGTCATTTATTAAATTATTTAAAAATTTTAAATAAAATGATTTTTATATATTTTTTTAAAAAATAAAAATAAAGAATTTATCAAATATATAACAAAAATTTTTACAAAAAATACTGTTCTTAGGAGCATTGTCAAACTGCGCATGATGCTGGACGCGCTTTTGGTTATTTCACGCGAATCTCTTTTAGCAACGGTTAACGCAGGATGATGATACCACCAAGTATGTGTCCACACCATACCTGTGTTGGGTTTTTGGTCTTTTTTGTAATTTTTTATTGTAAAATAGCAGATCTGATCTTCCATCTTTTATATGATGAGCACTTTAATTTCATAACTTAAAATTAATTTATTTAGATCCCAAAAAAGAACTTTTTTTCTTGTAATTTAGTCTCTCAACTTTTAAAAAATATTCAATTAATCTTAAAAACTCATATTATTATGAATTTAAGTTTTTTCGTGCACAAAAAGTGAAAATCATGTAAAAATATATTGAAAACACATATTATTCATATAAATAGTAATAAAATTAAAATTAAAATAATAAATTAAAACATATAAAATGCTTCTCATCAATGATCTTGTAGGATGACGGTGGCCTTGAAAGATGATGGCG